AAAAGTAAAGAATAAAAGAATAACCCAATTTTAAGCTTTGAAAACAATGTATAAGTGAAAGTTGCAGTCTTCATCTTATCTTTTGCAAGATGCGGTCTTCATCTAAGATGTGACTTCTAAGATGCGGTCTTCATCTCTCTTTCTTCCTTAGATGTGGTCTTCATCTAGGATGTGACTTCTAAGATGTGGTCTTCATCTTATCCTTTGCGAGATGCGGTCTTCATCTAGGATGTGACTTCTAAGATGCGGTCTTCATCTTATCCTTTGCGAGATGCAATCTTCATCTCTCCTTCTTCCTCAGATGCGATCTTCATCTTGGATATGACTTCCAAGATGCGGTCTTCATCTTATCTTTTGCGAGATGTGGTCTTCATCTCTCCTTCTTCCTTAGATGTGGTCTTCATCTAGGATGTGACTTCTAAGATGTGATCTTCATCTTATCCTTTGCGAGATGTGGTCTTCATCTCTCCTTTTTCCTTAGATGCGACTTCATCTTTTTTGACATGCAACTTGATCCCTTCTTCTTCTTGAGATGCAACTTCATCTAGGATGTGATTTTCTGAGACGCAACTTTGTCCTTTCTGAGATGCAACTTCATCCCTTTTTCTTCCTGAGATGCAACTTCATCTAGGATGTGATTTTCTAAGACGCAACTTCGTCTTTCATGAGATGCAACTTCATCCCTTCTTTTTCTTGAGATGTAACTTCATCTAGGATGTGATTTTTTGAGACACAACTTCATCTTTTCTGAGATGCAACTTCATCCCTTCTTCTTCCTGAGATGCAACTTCATCTAGGATGTGATTTCTGAGATGCAACTTCGTCTTTTCTGAGATGCAACTTCATCTCTTCTTCTTCCTAAGATGCAACTTCATCTAGGATGTGATTTTCTGAGACGCAACTTCGTCCTTTCTGAGATGCAACTTCATCCCCTCTTCTTCCTGAGATGCAACTTCATCTAGGATGTGATTTTCTGAGACGCAACTTCGTCCTTTCTGAGATGCAACTTCGTCCTTTCTGAGATGCAACTTCATCCCCTCTTCTTCTTGAGATGCAACTTCATCTAGGATGTGATTTTTTGAGACGCAACTTCGTCCTTTCTGAGATGCAACTTCATCCCCTCTTCTTCCTAAGATGCAACTTCATCTAGGATGTGGTTTTCTGAGACGCAACTTCGTCTTTTCTGAGATGCAACTTCATCCCTTCTTCTTCCTGAGATGCAACTTCATTTAGGATGTGATTTTCTGAGACGCAACTTCATCTTTTCTGAGATGCAACTTCATATCTTCTTCTTCCTGAGATGCAACTTCATCTAGGATGTGATTTTCTGAGACGCAACTTCGTCTTTTCTGAGATGCAACTTCATC